GCTTGGCTGCTGATCTAAAGATTAGATAGGGGTTCAAGTCCACTCAGAGGTATCCCTGAAGAAAGATTGGGTGAGCAACTTCCAGAATATAAAAAGTCCTTCACTACAGAGTTCTACCAAATTGTCACCATGAGTCAAAATCCATTTCGTGGCAACTGCTAGTGGTGAACAAGCTCCTGGGAGAGGCTGCCTTATGGCCCTTGACCACATTCGGAGCAGCAAGTGATTATTACATGACTCATGACAGTGACACTCAAGCTTCAGGACTCATCAGAATAAGCCAGGGCTTTTTACAAATGTAGCACTGCAGTCTGGGGCTGACCCTCCTGGAATCTACTTAATTTGATCTAGAGAAAGACCCAAGAGAATATCTGATCGATAACATCTACGTCAAGCTGCATACAGCCAACTGCTAATTTTGTGATTTTATAATGGGACATCCTTCTCAGTGGAACTGCTCATATACAGTTACAGAATCTGGAGTTGAGGGTGTGGGCTATTAGGGTCAGAAGCCTGAAAGACGGATGAATGATGGGTACCTGATGTTAAGAGCGCTGCAGCCCCAAACTCTAGAATTTTCCTCTGCATAAAAGGGGGACCTTCACAGAGCTTGCTCTGTGTTAGTAAGGTTCACTGCTGACAACCTATGCAGAAGGTAATCAGAACACCCCTCGATCCCAGGAAGATGAGCATGGTCCGGCCAAATCCTTAGCTCTGCAAAATGTTATGCTTTCTAAAGTAGAATGCTGAGTGGTGGCCACTGGTCTCCTCAAACTCCAGTAAAATTGAGGCTGACTTATTCAACAGTACATGATAGATGATCTGAGATAAATCCTGGGCCTTCCAGAGGAATCTGCCTATGAACCTTCCCCCAGTTACTTCCTTTCACTTCCCCCTGCCCCATTCTTCTTGCTAAAGTAGCTAAAAACTGCCCCTACACAGAGGGAAAAATTCTACCACTTTTAAATTAAAAGTAAAATAAAAAAAAAAAATCTAGTGTGAAGAGGTTGAAAAAGACCCTACCCTATTTAATTCCGGTATCATTTTATCGTTTTGCTCACATTTGGTACAGAAGGTGCTGGTTTCCAAGAAGACTGAATTTGAAAAATTGATGTTGGGGAGTGAGTGGCATGAGGAAAATGACCGAGGGGACCTCTGCTCCAGTGCTTTACCCTTTGAAAGGGCTTATATCTGTCGGAAGACTTGATCAGTGGAGAAGTAGCTGAATGGCAACTACTCAAAAGAGAAGTATCATTCTTAATTTTCTTTTCCACTAGAAAGAAGAAATTAAAAACCAACTAGAAAAAATTCTTGCCTGCATAGTAGTAACTTCTTTAAGAGAAGGGTTAGGTATGTGTGAAGGGTGATTCCTTTACCAATTTGCTTATATGTCTGGTTTCCTACATGACAGATGGGACCCCGGGTAGCAAAGTGGGCTAACTGTTGGGCTGTTAACTAGCAAGATGACAGTTCTAACCCACCAACTAATCTGAGGGAGAAAGATGAGGCAGTTTTCTCCTGAGGAAGGTTGCAGGAAGTCACAATTAATTCTGCACAATTAAAGTTGAAAATGGGGGGGGGTGCTCAGTATCTTTTGTTTTTTATGTGACATGTTAGGGACCTCTCCAAAGTACTGAAGAGCAATGGTGTCACTCTGGAGACTAAGGTGCACCTGATACAGTCCATGGTCTTTGCAATCACTTGCTATACGTCAGAGAGCTGGACAATGACTAGGGAGGATAGAAAAATTGATGTCCTTGAGCTGTGGTATTGGAGAAGAATATAGAATACACCATGGGCTGCTAAGAAAATGAACAGGTTCAACCTAGAGAGGGTTAAACCAAACTACTCCTTGGAGGCAAGAATTCTGAAGTTTCGTCTGATATACTTTGGACATGTTGCAAGGAAGTACCAGTTCTTGGAGAAGGATGTCATGCTTGGGAGGGTGGAGGGACGGCGCAGGAGAGAAACCCTCTATGAGGTGGATCAATTCGGTGACTGAGGTAATCAGGGTGGGTGTGTCAGAGAGAGTGAGATTGGCACAGGACAGAGCAGGGTATAGGGCTGTTGTACCTCGGGTCACTATGAGTCACAGGCAACTCGATGGCACATAACAACAATGATACATTATTTTAAGCATTGTAAAACAATATTAATACACATAGCTACTTTTAAATTAAAGATTATTGTTTCCTTTTTTTCAGAGAAGGAAGTTGAAAATCAAAGAAATTAATTTGCCTAAATTCACAGTGGCAGACCCAGGATTTCAACCTGGGCAGTCAAAGGATCTATAACTACTTTCGTTTTTTAAATTCTATTTCTTTTACTGAGATTTAAATGAAAGATTATAGAGGACTTAGATTTCCATACATTCATTATTGCCCATTTTCCTACCTGCTCCCCCAGTTTGCTTTTCTCTTTGAAAAGAAAAAAAAATTTTTTTATACATTCCACCCCTCCTCCCCCCCCCCCAGTCCACTTTACTATGCCGCTCCTACTCTGGACTCTTGTCATGCAAACAAAGGATTGTTGCTCTGAATGGATGGAGAGACATTGGACTAGATGGAATGGTTGTTAATTGCTAATGCCTAGACTGATTATCGCTGTGGAACAGTCTCCAGCAGTAATCTGCTGTGAAACATAGGCCGTGTCCAATCTTTATTAGACATGACTGTGTCAAGTTGGAGCTAGCTCAATGGAAACTAACAGCAAAATAACCATCATGGACCTCTTGTATAAAACACAAATTCGGAGGCCTCACACCTGGATTTCTAATAGTCTGGGGGTTTGGAAACACTGCCCTAGAGAATTTCTATGCAGCCCTCACTCTGCCTGCAAATCCAAGATTCTTCCACTGGAATCTCCCTCTGCTGACCTAAAATGAATGCTTCCACCTCCTCTGGCTATTCTAATCACTCCAATTCTGGTGTCGAAACCACAGTCACCGAAGGCGACAATTCTGTCCACTCCCCCCTCCAGCCCCATCTGCTGACAGTCAGTTAGACAGGCTGCCTCAAGTCCCACGAGCCTCCCACATCCTGCCTGCTTCCCTCTGGAGCAGCCCAAATGTACAGATTTGAGAGTTTAAATGGACTCTGCTATAAGAAGAATGGGAGCAGCATTACCTAGTATTCACTGCTGCCCGTCTTATCTGATCAAGAGCGGAACACTTCCACAGACCATGTCCTCCCATTTGCATTGAATGTACCAGAAATAACAAGGCTTAAACTTGTGTTGATGATATGATCAAGACCCTCTCCTTGTCAGTTTTTCTTCTACAGCTACCAAACACACTGCCATCCTGTTGATTCTAAACCACGGGACCGTCCATCTGATTTCCCAGGCTATAACTCCTCATGTGGGCACACTGCCTCATCATTCTCCTGCAGAGTGCTAGTGGGCTCAAACCACTGACATTTCTGTTAGTAACCTAACACAAACCCTATTGTGCCACCAGGGCTCCTACTCTACACCTAGCAGCATGCTGTTTTCAGGAGTCATTGGGTGGTATAAATAATTAATACACTTATTTGCTAACTGAAAGTTTGGAAGTTCAAGTTCCCCTACGAAGAAAGGCCTGGAAAGCTACTTCAGAGAAATCAGACCCTGTGGGGCATTTTCTGCCCTAACATGCATGATGAGGTTATCTGCGTGCTGAATTAACTCCATTGGTAACTTGTTTCTGGATATATTTGCTGACATAGAGGAAGCTGCTGGAGCTGGTCACTTAGTCTCTCACCTTTCCCTAACACATTTACCTCTTCAAGAGGCTGAAAATGGCAGTATCACACAGACCCAGAGGGGTGAGGAGAATAACTATGTTCCACATTCGCTTATGTAGGTTCTGTGCATGGTGCATTGACCTAGGCTCAGATCAACCAACTAGACAATTCCTACCCCCTCTGTGTTTTAAGAAGACCCTGTAAAAATGGGAGCAGAGAAGGAGGCGGTGAGAAAGTCCTTCAAGATTCCCCAGGAAGTAGACTTGGGAACAAGGCAAAGGCAGCTGTACAGCAAGCACCAAGAATTGCCACGCCTGTGGATTACCTGTGCTCTGTGCATCCATCATCAGCTGGCAATGAGGGACTCCTGGCTATAGAAAGAACATTCTCTTCTCAGGTCTAATTTGGAACTTACACACACACACACACACACATAAACCCCTAAAATAATCTACTCTTTTCTATTTAAAACCGTGGACATCATTCTCATAATAGGTGCACTATTTGGGACATGAATGTCTTCAAGATTGCTTGGATTGAAGATGCTAAATATTCCATGGGAAAAGGAAAACCTGGGGAGAAAATAAGTCTTCAGACTGTCAGGAGTTTTCATAAAACACCCTGCTTCATTTCTTGCTCCACTGCATTCTAAAGACACCCCTGAACATAACAGCCAGCAATCAGGAGGCTGGTTGACCATTTTGAATTCTGGAACAAAAATGTAGTTCACAATAGAGCTTTGCTGCCTGTCCCCCAGGGCTGGCGCTGAGAACCCTCAAGGGCAGTCATGAAATCCTTCTGCAATGGTTAAATCACCATGCTTATCTAAAGAGCCCCTGATTTGGTGGATTCCGATCTGCTGGTCAGGTTGCCCTAGATTTCATCAAGTGCAGTGGTCGGAAAAGTCAACCTTTTCCTGGGGAGAAAACATCCTGTTTCCTTTAAGGCATAAGTTTTGGGCATAGGGAGGTTGAGGGAATAATTTTCAACACAGATCTCTAGGGTGGGGTGGAGTAGGGGGCCACTTGTGTCCAAAATTGTGTAAGTTGTTAGTTTTTTGTTTACTTTGTTTTAAAGCCAGATTCAAGAGGTTGGGATTTGTTTATTCTGTTAAACATCTGCTTCAATTCCAGCAGAAGCTATGAAGAGACTATCATTTAGAAATCCCATCTGTGGGACTTGAAGAGCAGAGCTTAAGCAGCTAGAGACCACTTGGCATTGTGACTGTGGAACCGACATGCAAAGGAGAGGGGTTCCCTCTTTCCCTCATTTTGTTACCTTGAGCTCCTTGACTGTAGAAGAATCTTTGAGCTGACTCAACATCCAAGAGTCTGTGAGCAGACTCGACGTCCAGAAAATAATCCATTTTGGGATAATCCATCCTTAGTGTTCCAAACACAGAGTTTTGTGAGAAAAGGTTCACTTCGGCACCTGTAAAAGAGGATTTTAGGCTGTAAAATGGATTTTTAAAGTCTCAAATAGTCTCAAATGCTTTAACATTTCAGACTAAGACTGTGCCATTTATTTAGCTCATATTTCTATTCCTAAAGCCTCTCCCCAACATAGCCCTCCAACTGTCTCAGAAATTCAACATTTAACCAACATTCATTAAAAGTAATACATTTTTACCCAGAAAGCACACAGATGATCCAGGCTAAGAAGAAAGAACATACCAGCCCTTCCTTGATACATGTTGACTGGCAAATACCCCGTGAAATTCACATGCTAACACTTTTCAAAAGGTTGTCGACTAAAGGGCTTCAGTAAGTGCCAGTAATTCCGAATATTGATCTTCCTTTCATCCAAGAGTTCCAAATCTCTCTCAACCTTTGAGAATCGCCTGGGAATCAGAGCCTCTTCTCCTGCAAGCCTGCACTGACGACACACGCTGACAGGCTTGCTATAGAAATGCCTTGAATCTCCTTTCCCCCAGTGATTTCCTCCAGCACGTCTGCAAAGTGCTACCGGATAGTCATCTGCCTGCACCTGACGAACACTGCTTCTGAGACAGGATGGTGGTTTTCTCCAAAAAGCGACAATTATTCCCAAACCGCAACGATCCCCACTAGATCAGCATGCACCAGCCTGTCAGGAAGCTAACACACTTCGTTACAAAACACTCAGCCTGTTAGGGTTCTGATTTGAGCATCTGTAACATTTCCCTGTTACTTGCTACTTGCACAAACGAAGTATCTCTATTTCCACTGGATCTTACAGGAAAGAATTACAAGACAAAGTCACTAAAACTGAGCTCAGAAAATGTATTTGATTAGTTCCCCTTTCTAATTATACACGTATAAATTATAGGAGCCACTTCTAATAAGAGGAAACTTTTAAAACACCAAAGATAACCCAACGGTAATTATACTTACCAGAAAAAAAAATCAAGGTCCAACTCTTGGCAGGAAAATAAAAGAGGGGACAGCCAGAAGGTCTTTAATCCCACTCAATATTCCCAGAGAAAATAAACAATTTTGGTTGTTTGATTAGAGCGGCAATGAATAATGCATTCTGTCCACTGGATTCCATTTATTAGACAAAATGGCCAAAGCATGTTACCTTAGCAACAGAAGGTGACGCCAGTCTCAGCCTCTCTACTCTGTGAAGGAAGTAAATCACCAATTTCCCGTGTAAAACTTTGCCAGAAAACCGTCAACATCTACACATAATCACTGTGCACACTTTGTGCCCCCTCCTCTAAGCAGAGAAGTCTCACAGTCATTTTAAAACCATGGATCCACGGTTCAAGAATTTGTTTGCACGGTCCCAGTTTGAATTGTAGTTACAACAGAGACTATGCAATGATGAGATAGTTAACAGGATGAGAAAGTTGTCTAGAAATTGTTGGGAGGGGAGGGTCTCTGTTCTGACGCTACTGTTTCCTGAAGGTAACAGGCAGGGAGCTTGTGGGCAAGGGTCGGCTGGCTGGTGTAAGTTGCAGTCTTCCTCTGTTATAATTAATACGCAGATCAGCGACTGGCATCCAGGCTGAAAAGAATTCTCTCCATCCTTCTGTGCACCAGCCACTGGAAGAAGCCTGAAAATCTGTATGAGATTTTTGCAGGATTTGTGAGAAACATCACAGCAGGGATCTTTTAGGAGACTTTCTCCTGTCAAGGAAAGGTAGCCAGAAAGATGTTTAAAAGAGAAAGACCAAGTCCTGAAATTAGAAGACAGATACTCACTGGCACTTGTTGACTCCTTTCCACAGGACCTGGCAGTGGCGAGAGTGAAGCTGTGTGACGCTGTGGAGCCTGCAAGCCCAAATGAACAGCTTCTAATTTTCTCTTCAATCTCAATTCCCGAGCGCTGAGTGGAGCAAAGTGATGGATTTGCCCATTTTATATTGTGATGAAATGCAAACCCTCAGTAGAGATCTGAGTGGATGGAGCTGCTCTTTAGAACACGTTAGACTGCTAATTTAAGAAAATGGAAAGGTTTTGTTTTACTGTCTTTTATGTGTTCTCTTTGCTACCCCCTCAGTTTAATTTGCATTTAAAATTATTCTCCTGTCTCCTCAGCTCTCCTAGGTGTGGAACACTTTCTAATCACAACGGCTGCTCAGTAAGGTTTGGTGCACTGCTTTTATTCGGAGCTGCAAAACAAGGTGGGTAATTATAATTGCGAGTGCTTTCTGGAGTGAAAGGCAGGGTGCAAGCTTACTTTCACCTACTCTCTCTTCTGTGACCTTACTTCCTCCTACCTCTTGGTTGCTTGGCCACCTCTCCGTTCCAATCATACTGGCCTGTCTAAATGCATTCCTTACTATCTGAATATAACAAAATTAACCCAATAGTAACAAAACGTTGCTGAGGTTTCAGGCAATATTATTGTTGTTAAGAGCCATTGATTCGAGTATGACTGATTCATAGTGATTCTAAGAACAGCTAACCTGAACCTTCCCTATCCTGTGCCATTTTAATCACCTCGGACACACTAAAGCCTGTTCCTGAAGTCACTGTGTCAATCCATCTTTTTGCAGATCTTCCTCTCCTTTGCTGACCCTCCATCTTTGCAATAATGATGTCTCTTTCCAAGGAATTGCCTCACCTAGCAAAATGTCCAAAGTATGAACGACAAAGCTTGGCCATCTTTGCTTCCAAGAACCACTTTTCTCAAGACATACCTGTTTGTTCTTTTAGCCATCCATTGGATTTTCAATACCATTCTCCAATACCACAACTCAAAGGCATCAATTGTTCTTCTGTCATCCTTATTCTTTGTCCAGCTCTCTGATGCATAGCAGGTGATTGAGAATACCATTACCTGAATCAGGTGCACCTTAGTCTTCAAATTGACAACATTGCTTGTCAGTATTTTGGAGAGGTCCCTGATAGCAGATTTCCCCAATACAATATGTCTCTTGGTTTCCTGACTAGTGGTACTAGGGTGTTGATTGTAGATCTAAACAATATGAAATCATTGACAACTTCAATCCTTTCTCGATTTATCATAATATTTACTGTCAGTCCTATAGTGAGGACCTTTGCTTTCTTGATGTTAAGATGTAATCCATACTGAAGGCAGTAGTCCGTGATTTTCTGCAGCAAGCATTTTATGTCCTCTTCACTTTCAATAAGCAAAATTGTGTGATCTGCATAATGCAAGTTTTTGATGAGCCTTCTACCAAACCTAATGCCATGTTCTTCTTCATAGAAGAATTATTTTTTTATTTTTGCTCAGCATACAGATTGAATAGGTATAGAGAAAGGATGCAACTCTGACACACATTCTTCCTGATTTTAAACCATGCAGTGTTCCCTACTCTGTTCGTATAACAACTTCTTGGTCTACGAATTGCTATGAACACAATTAATTGTCCTGGGGTTTCCATTCTTCTCAATGTTAGCTATATTTTGTTATGATCCACTCAGTCAAATGCTTTTGCATAGTCAATAAGGCACTAAAAATCCCCCAAACCATTCTGATATCCTCTGTTGTTATTGCTAATTTCTGTTAAGTAGGCTTTGGTGCATGTTGATCCCATAACATATTAAAATACCTCTTCATTCTGTGCCCTTTCCATGGAAAATTGTAGATCAGACCTTTATGATCCCTTGCATTTTCATTACATGACCTTTGGGATTAGAACACCAGGTCTTTCTTTCTTCCTCTTCTGGCTTTGTCTGGAAGACTGGCTGAAAGCTGGTTGGCATCATAGCAATATGAAGTCTCTACTAACAGGGGAGTGATGGCTGTGTTCAGCTTTCCATTGGCCAGGACTTGAGCTCTGGACAGAAGGTGGGAACACTACCAATGACCACCACACTTTCCACTAAATCTCAATGATGACTTCTAGGGACAGTTTTCAGATCTTTTCACAAAAGGCATGATGATGCTCAAATGCAGGTCCTAGTAGATATTTCCCACTTCCTGTTGCATCCTTTTTCACCAACCAGGATGGGAAATAGGCTCAGTTTTGTACGTGGCAATGCTGAGTTGTTAATAGAAGTGAAATCTTTGAGGAGACCAGTAGGACAACATTTTTGTTGCTCAGATGCTAGGTAAGGCAATGAAAGGATGAGTGGATGGAAGAACCAAAGAGGGACTGTGGAGAGAGTGATGATATGATACAGAAATTGTAATCAATGACACCTGCAAAAAATCAATATCATTGAGTGAAAGGAATGCCAATCTGCTCTGTAAGCTATAACTCAAATACTAACTTTTAAAAATAACCAATCACTTTAAAAAAAGAGGACATTACACTTCCCCACCCACAAAGGTCTGCTGGTTCCCTTTGACACTGAAAACGCTGTTGCTTGTCTTATGGGCTGTGCCAACACATCAGAGGCCATGAGGCACTACACTGGTGTTGCACCGAGTTAAGCCTACAATGTAGAAGGGACTTAAGCTACTCAAAGCACTGCCCAGGCCCAAAGACTTCCTTCTCTAAGATTGCATTTCTATTCAGCCCCCAATCAAGATGCACTGAACACTTGACATTTGCAAAAGGATAAAGCTGTCTCTGTTTTCTTTAGCTTACAGTGAGGTGTGGGCGACAGGTACTGAACTCTCCACAGTGATTCTCCTGCATTCATGATGACTCATAGGTGCGAACGAGGGAACATGAGGGAGCAGGTGCCAGTGGCTGTTGCTGAACAGCAAGCATGAAGGGGAGCACACAGGACTGAGGAAGGAGAAGCTCAGATGGGAACTGGAAAACCAAAAGTGATTCCTAGGGGAGTTGGGGAACCCATCATTTTCTGGAGAGCAGACTGAGAAAGGAAATGATAAGTTTCATATCAAGAGACTATGCAATAAATATGAAAGGATTTTGACTTTAGAAAACATATTATTGTGATGCAGGTTGAGTCAGAACTGATTTATAGCTGATACAGCATTAGGTTTCCTGAGGGTGTAAATTACACAGGAGTTGGCTGCCCATCTACATACTTTGGAGCCACTGGTAGGTTTAAACCATGTGCCTTTGGATTGGCAGCACACCTCCTTCCCACTAAGTCACCAGAGCTCCCTTTAGAAAACATACAGTAGAAAATTTCAACTTAGGGAAAAAGATATTTCGATAATAATGAGTGATTAGAATGTAAAAGTTGGGAACAGGGAAGAAGGGTCATAGCCAAGAAAGCATGGATTTGTTGGCAGAAATGAGGCTGGAGACAGAATTAAAGGATTCTGAACAATCAATGACCTATTCATTGCAAACACCTTTTATAAGAAACATTAACAGTGACTGTACACATCGACTTCAACTGATAGTCTGCCCAGTATTCAGATTGACTACATTTGTGGAAAAATCCTTGGAGAAGTTCAATATTAGTTGTGAAAACTAAGCCAGATGCTGACTGCAGAACAGACCATCAACTACTCATATGCATGTTCAAACTGAAGTGAAAAAAAACAAAACAAAACTGAATCCATAAGAACCAAAGTTTGACCTTGAATCTATCCCACCAGAATTTAAAGACCATCTCAGGAACAGGTTTGAAGCCTTGAAATGGGTTTGAAGCCCTGAGCACTAATGAGCAAAGACCAGACGAGATGTGGGAGGATATCAAGAATATCATTCATGAAGAATGTAAAAAGTCTCTGCAAAGATAGAGGAGGAAGAAAAGACCAAGATGATGTCAGAAGAGATCTGAATATTGCACTACCATGACAAGAAGTCAAAACAAAGGGAAGAAATCAAGAAGTTAAGGAGCTACACAGAAGATTTCAAAAAAGCAGCATGGCAAGACAAATTATTATAAAGAAATGTTGCAAGGAGCTGGTGTTGGATAATCAAAAGGGACAAACTCGCTTGGCATTTCTTAACCTGAAGGAACTGAAGAACAAATTCCAGCCTTGAGTTGCAATAATTAAGGGTGCCGAAGGGAGAAAGTTGAATGACCCAGTTAATATCAAAAGAAGATGGAAGGAGTATACAGAGGCACTATACTAAAAAGAACCGGCTAACACAGAAGAATTTAATGAAATAACATATGATCAAGAGCCTATGGTGATGGAGGAGGAAGTTCAAGTTGCTCTGAAAGAATTGGCAAAAAAACAAGGCTCCAGGAGTTAACGGCATACCAATTGACATAGTTTAAGAAAGAGATACTGCCCTGGACACATTACCAAGATACATAGCCAT